TTCACATGGTCTGGAATACCCCTTTGGCCAGTTTGGGTCAGGTGCCCTGGCTGTGTCCTGTGCCAACTTCTTGTGCCCCTCCAGCCTTCTTGCTCGCTGGGCATGAGAAGCTGAAAAATCCTTGACTTAGTCTAAACGCTACTTGGCAACAACTGAAAACATCAGTGTGTTATCGATGTTCTTCTCATACTGAACCCAGAACACAGCACTGTACCAGCTACTAGGAAGAAAATTAACGCTATCCCAGCTGAAACCAGGACAAGGACTGACATTATTTCCTAATTGCACATCAGAAGTGTGACCACAAATAAAACTGTTTAACAGATTTTCTGGTTCAACTTGTAGTGCGTAATAGGCACCTAGTGGCAGGCAGGACAGCCCACACCATCACCTACCAGCTCTGGCCTCCCGCAATGCATGCTCTGGAATAGGCAAGTTCACATGAAGACAGTCTTACTCCAATACTGGAGTCACTTGCCATGTAGTTTCATCCACTTTGAGACACAAATTTTTAGCTGCAGCCCTGGATCACCACCTTAAGTCCATGGATGGTCAGTGGCTTTATAAAGCAAAAGGGTGCCCACACAGTGGGTGAACATCTTCGCTGCACACCCAGCTGTGCCTCAAAGAGCCTGAAGAATGAAAAAGTCACCTCTTCTACCAAACAGGCAACATCAAGACTGTAGTTAGACAGGCAGGAGGGCCAGGATGACCAACAGGACATGGTCCTTGCTGGGCTGAGCCCCCCAGGTCTGACAACTCTCCCTGGTGCTCCAGAGGAAGCACATCTTCCAGCTTCAGCAAGCTATTTACCACCAGATGGTACCAGCTGGTCCCAGTCACCTTTTTCCCCAGGAAAACATGCCATTACCCACAACAGGATTTCATGGTGGCTACCTTGGCTCCCTGCCCTCCGGAGCAAGGCAGTGTCACGCATGCCCAGCCCAGCTTGGGAGCGCTGCTGCTCACGGTGAAGGAAGGCCACGGGGGCATTGCCATGCAGGGCAGGCTATGGCTGGGGAGGAGGTGGCGGTGTGACAGTGCTGTGGCTGCTGGCTGTGTTGGGCTGGGGGTCCGGGGGGAAGGTGTTGGTCTGGCTGACAACAGCCAGTGGCTGAACATGGAGTACATACTCCAGGAGCTTGTGGTCTGGGGCCACGAGGTGACCATGCTGCTGCCTTCGTGCTTCCTCATCCTCAACCCCACACAGCCCTCACCCTTCCAGTTTGAGGTGGCTGAGGTGCCGATCACCAAAAAGGAGATAGTTGGCTACCCTACTGGAAAAAGCTTTCTCTTTTTGGTTTTACCAGGAGAGAACGCTACCTGTCTGGGAAAGTCTTTACAAGCTAGCTCAACTGGTGTACAAGCAGGAGAACATAACCAAAATAATTTGTGATGAAGTCCTGAAGCATGAGGTGCTGCTGGAGAGACTGAGCGCATCCACCTTTGATGTCCCCTTGGCAGACCCACTGGCACACAGTGGGGTTTGCTGAGAAGCTGGGTATCCCCTTCATGTACACCATCTGGTTCTCCATAGGCAACATGATGGAGCGGCTCTGTGCTTAACAGATAGGATGTCCTTCCTGGAAAGGCTAAAAAACATCTTCACCTACACAGTGCAGGACATCACATATCATTACCTTCTCTGGGAAAGTTGGTGATGTTTTAGGTAAGGCTGCTCTTACTTCCAGAAATTACATCATCTGCTGTACACACAAGAGTAAGTACCCAGAGCTTAGAGGTTAAGGCACAAGGTAGGAGCAAGACAGCTGTGAACTCACTCTCCTTCCTCCAAAACTCCTGTGTCAAGTCAAACAATCCAGGCAAGTACAAATGTTACCTGTTAATCCTGACCTGCTACACTAGTACAGCTAAGTCCAGGCACTTGTAGGATAGGTAAAACAGTTCTAAAGCCACTTGAAACAGAGCTCATCAGTCATATACATAGATGAATCATGACAAACACTAAGAACAGCAAAATAATACTATATACCCACCAAACACTAGTACTGAATTAAACCTTTTGAAGTAGAAATAAAAAATGGTTTTGGAAAGCTATACAACAATACTGCCTTTTTTCCCCTAGCACCCTTCTGGCTTGCTAGCTTAACTCAAAATGAGAGATAATGGCCTCCTCTGGTCTTTTAAAGGCTTGGGAGAGCAGCTGAGCCCCAGTTTGCAGTGATAAAAGGCCCTCAGCAGAGACAGGGTTCTTTGCTTTTCTGAAAGTGTCTAAAAGAAATACTAGAAGATAGTTGTATTTATTTGTGAGTTTTTTTCTTTTTTAAACAATAGTTGCATAATTATTTTCACATTTTTGCTCTAAGTGATTATTGTAACGCTTAAAAGGAAACAGGGCAAACATACATGCATTGTTGGTGGGCAGATAAAATGGATATTATTTCAATATGAAACTCTAAATATTTTTATTTATATTTCACTAGTAGGGTGTAATTCTGCTAAGAGAGCTAAGTTGTTAAGATACCCTACTATTATAGTACCTAGCTGTGTGTTTACTTGTGTTGCTTATCATATTTGACGGAGACTAGAAAATCTTGTGCTGGCAAAAGCATGGTTTGCTGATCTCCTGTTGTGTAAGCCTCAGAGCTGCTTGGATCTTGTCTTGTCTTTTTTTATTGTTAAATGTGGGGTTTAGTATTTAAGGCTACATGTGCAATACCTGTTTTATTAGCTGTGTTAGCTTAGCTGTTCTCTACCCTGACTGTGATATGCTTTGGTCTGGAGTGTATCCAGTCCTGAAGGAGGTGCAAAAGGAAGGGGCAAGCATCTCACAGAAAGTGGGCAATGTCCCAGCTCCGGCACTGTATGCGTGCACCTTCTCTTTCTCCTTGGAAAATCTTCTTCAGGGTTCTTATTATTCTAGTTGCTTTCCTAGAGCTACCTAAAGGCTTTTTCAAGTGATGAGGTTGAAGCATGATGAAAGACTGCTTGCTCCACTGTCAGTCTAGTAAGGGGAGCTCATGTGGTGCTGCTGAGCTCTTGCAGGAGTGCTCAGGCCCTGTTTACACTCAGTCTAAGCCTCATTTGCCCTCTGCTCAGGACAGAGCAGCTGCCTGTTCTTTTCCCTGAACACATCAGTAGCACCAAGCATCTCCACTACGTCTACAGGACACAGTCAAGAGGAGAAGTCAGGTCTCTTGTCTTGGCAGTATCTGTCCTGGACTACATTATATGGATTCACTGATGCCAGTGTGCAGCATCTTCCCAAGAGAAGGCAAAGAAGCAGAAAGGTGAGCAAAACCTCTGCTCCTCATCTCCTCCTGTTTCTCTCCCGGGGTGGCCTGATGCTGGAGTCATCTCTACCAGGACTGTGTCCTTCCAGCAGCAGTGCTGTGTGTCCACAGCGTCTGGTTATAGAGAAGACAGAACTAGAGCACCCTGTGGGCTAGCTGTGAATCACTGCAGGACATTCTGCACCTAGTAAATGAAGAGAGAAAAATTGTAACCAGCTTTACAGGTAGGTTGGCTCTTACAGGACACAGAAGCAAATCTAGGCTGTAGTGAAGTGGTAAGATGGTGTTCATCCTGTAGCTGACAAAAAAGTCCCATGGGCTGCTCATGTCCTTTCCCTAGCCTGAGCTCCTGCTTGGTGCAGGAATGTGTATCATCTTCACCTTGAAGATCTGGTATGGGGGTATGCTGATTTTGGCTGGAACAGAATTAATTTTCTTCATAGTAGCTTGCAAGGGGCTGTATTTTGGATTTGTGATTAAAACAGTGTTGGTAACACAGGGATGCTTTAGTTATCGCTGAGCAGTTCTTACATACCATCAAGGCTTTTTCTGCTTCTCACACTGCTCCTCCCACGGAGTAGGCTGGGGGTGCACAAGAAGTTGGGAGGGGACTCAGCCGGGACAGCTGACCCCAACTTACCCAAGGGGTATTCCATACCATGTGGTGATGTGCTCAGCAAAAAAAGCTGGGGAGGCGGGAGGGGAGTTTGCCAGGGTTGCTGTTGCTCAGGGACTGGCTGGGCATTGGTTGGCCAGTGGTGAGCAATTGTTCTTTTTGCATTACTTGTTTTTCTTGGTTTTATTTTTGGTTTTTGCTTATTAAGCTGTCTCTACCTCAACCCATGAGTTTTCTAACTTTTGCCCTTCCTTTTCCCCTCCTACTGCGGGGGAGTGAGAGGCTCTGTGGTCATTTGCTGCCCATCAAGATTAAACCACAACACAGGGAAAGGGCTCCTGGTTCTCACATGCTGCAAAATGCACTTTGTAGTGAGCAGAAACAGGAGTTGCCGTCATTTTGAGATAAGCTGTGGCTCTGCAGGAGACTCCAGAACGGGATTTGCTGCTTGCCCAGTCCTCCTATGAGCATTGTTTTGTGTTCTGACATGCCCTCTTGCCAGGCTTGGATCTCACTTTTATTGGCTGGCTCTAAAGTGTTTGCACACTGGAGCAGTGAACTCCTTCCAGCTCGGTCAGACTGGAGTTGTACATTGACTGCTGAGATGATGGGGCCAAGGTTCCCCTGGCTGCTCTGGGCCTACGCATGCTGCTGGAGTGCTGGCTTTTGTGGGAAGGTGGTGGTCTGGCCCACCGATGCAAGTCACTGGATCAATATGAAAGTGCTGCTGGAAGAGCTTGTTCTCCGGGGTCATGAAGTGACTGTGCTGGTGCCCTCAAGCAATCTGCTCATCGACTACCAAGACACCTCCTCCCCCTTCACTTTTGAGGTCTTGCAAGTCCCCTTTACCCAGAAAACCCTGCATGCTATCATGGACGACTTCCTCAATTTCTGGATGAATGAGGTCTCTAATCTCTCCCCCTGGGAGATCATGTGGAGGACGAAAAAGGACCTGGAGGTCTTTACCAATATGTCAAAGCAGATCTGTGACACCTTGGTGATGAACCCTCAGCTGATAGCAAAGCTGCAGCAAGCCAAGTTTGATGTTTTGGTTGCTGATCCCCTGTCTGTAGGCGGGGAGCTTGTAGCAGAAATCCTAGCAATCCCTTTTGTCTACAGCTTCCGCTTCTCAGATGGGAATGTGGTAGAGAAGCTGTGCGGTGGGCTCCCGTCCCCACCTTCTTATGTGCCTGCTAGCACAAGGGGACTGACAGATCAGATGTCCTTCGTGGAAAGGCTACAGAACTTCCTCTTTTACTTTTACACGGATCTATTTTTCTTGAAGTTTTGGCAAGACGAATGGGATGGGTACTACAGTAATGTCTTAGGTAAGGCAGCTGTTGAGTGGTTTCTCCTCTTGCATAGGTTGTGCCTTTTGAATGTTTTGGGAGCTCAATGCTGTTCTCTCAAAATACTCTTTCTCAATGGCCAGCAGAAATGGTAATCCTGTTTTGGTCACATGGAGGCTGTGCCTTCCTTTTTAGGTCTGGTCTAATCTAACAGACACCAGTGCAGTTTTGCTCTAGTTCCTCTTGAGGATCTTTAGAGCACACAGTTCTAATTTTTGTCAATGACGATACTGTCGATGAGCTCTTGCAGTGAGCCATATGCCCATTTTAGTGCTTTCAGAGGACAGTTGTTGCCTCTTCATCTTGATGACAGGCAGTTCTACAATTAAGATGGTAGTAGATAAAGGCTGGAGGGCAAAATCATTCCTTACCTAAGTGTAAGGCACTGGAGACAGCTCCATTGATAACGCAGGGATGGAGTTAACCCTGTTGTAACTAGGAATACTGGCTGTCTCTGGACAACTGCAGAGCAAAAAACCACTCTTCATTCACATTGCATGCATCATCTGGAGATATCATCTTGCAACCCTGCATAGTACAGGATGCTAAGCGTGAGTTCATATTCTTGAACAATAAATGCTAAGAACTGCCAACTTTCCCCTTCAACTACCATTCAGAGTTTTAAATACTCTCCTTAAACTACATATATACCCGAAATTTTTGTTCCAACCTAGAACTCAGGCTTGATTGAAAGTCTGTTAAAGAGACCTTTTAGTTCAATGGACTTTGAATCTTGTACAGAATATCTGTGTTTAGGCAGATAACGAGTGAACAGCAAGCACAAGGGTATCTATTCTGTTGCCCTCCAATCTCTTCCTGCGTTTCCCAAGAATGCCTCTGTGCTCTGCAAACTAGTCCCTTTTCCCTGGATTGAATTTTTTTCCTTTAATACCACATAAGACTTAATTACACACCTTTGTACCACTTTACTTGCAATGCAAGGCTTAATTTTCACTCCAGTAACTTTGTAACTGACTCATTGCTCTTTACTTAAAATAAAATAAAAATTACTGGTGTAGATTGTAACACTGATCAAGTAGTATAAGAAGATGCCCTACAGATAATTTTTATCTTGCTGCTTATTTGCTTGGTTCCTGCTTGCATTAGGCTGGCTTTGGATAATCATTTATTTACCAACACTTCTAACCCTTTTACTCCACAGTTCCATTTTGTGGGGAAAATACTGCAAAGACAACTTGCAACATGTACCTGAGAATATATATTGTTCCAAATGGGAAGCTATAAAATTTTTATCCATTGGATTTTTTTCTATAGATGGATTTCTAGAGACACTGGATGTTGCATAAAATGACATTCAAAGCATCTATGGATTTGGCCAAATTTTCCCAATATGTGTCAGAAGGAGCTGACCCAGTCCCCAAGAGAACTAGGGATAGCTGTACCTGTCTTTTATTGTAGTCTGAGCAGCCACTGACTGAGTCACCATTTGAAAAATGCCACAGAACTTTAAAAACTTTCCTCCTCCCTGACTGGTGATGATCACTTTGCGATTAATTTATTTTTTATTTGGAACTACATTTTCTGTGATTGTTCTCTTCCCCAAAGTGTGCTTTTATTACAAGCACAGGTAATGAAGTCTTTCAGTGGTACAAGAATTGCACTTCTGTATCACAGAAACTAAATGCTTCCCACTTACTCCTGTACTGCTCTAAATTAATCCTGAAGGTTCAAAATCCCTTTAAAGATCGTATTGCCTTGTTCGTGGCAACCTGCCAAGGCCAAACACAGGACAGGGCAAGGAATACATCTGGATTTGTCTGTGTTTTCCTTTCATGCATGATTTGATAGACTACACTGACTGGGAGTGCCAAAAGACAAAGGTAAGGCTTCTATTTTGCAATCTACAGCAAACAAGCCCACTCCCGTGCCTGTTGTAAACCCCTTGTACCTTGTCCATAGGAAGGCCCACAACCCTGTGTGAGACGATGGGGAAAGCAGAGATATGGTTAATCAGAACATACTGGGATTTTGAATTTCCACGGCCTTTCCTGCCCAATTTTGAGTTTGTTGGAGGACTTCATTGCCAGCCTGCAAAGCCATTACCAAAGGTATCCCAACTTTGTTCTGCCATTGGTTGGTTGTTTGCCCAGCAGAACATAAACTGTTTCTCTCCCTGATAACCATGCAAGCCATGTCCTGAGAAAGCTCATTCTAAAAGAAGATGCTCTGCTGCCAGTGGGGAGCATGGAGCTATTTAGCAATCTGTCTGTACTTATGCAAACTGAGGGCTGAGTTTACAACCTGCTGTCTTAAAAGAGGATAGCTGAGGTCAGCAGGAGGGAATACCGTGTTTGTTTCAGGAAAAATAGGTGCTACTTCAGAGTAGTTAAGTGTAATTTAATTCTAAGATGCAGACTTGGAGCCAATGGTAACACTGAAATACCTGATGCAAAAAAAGCACTGTGATGGGACAAATTCTTTAGACAAAATGGAGCCAAGACTTGCAGAAAGAGACAATTGATGAACACTTTTTCTATTGTTACTTAGTTTAAGACATCTTAAAGGGAGTAAAATACTCAGCATCTCCAGCTTACGCTCTGCTGTGACTGGCAATATTCAGGTGGAATCTGAAACTCCTAGATACTGATGACAGCAACACAACAAGCTCTGGTCTAGATTATCACTCCTGTAGGAGCTTAGAGGAGGTAGGGTATTTTCAGTGTAAGTTGTCTACTTAAAAGAAACTGTCTAACTCTCTTCCCACTCCCCTGTAGCAGAGGTTGAGTTGGGGGAAATGGATAACCATTCTCTTTTGGATGCTATTGCTCCATTTCACATGATACTAACTAAAAAAAAGGAACAGGAAGACCTATTAGTCTGATTTGTAGAAAATCTGTTTAGCAACATGTGCTGTATTGCAAGAAATAGAGAACTGGCTAACAAAGTCAGACCAGCAACTTGATGAATCTCTGACCAGGATGCTGAAAAACCCTGACAGTTTTCAGCACTGTCCCTTCCTGCAGAGCTACGAAATGCAAAGTACTTGTTCATGGAGAATCCAGAACGATGACAGACTATGCTATGGAGGGTGTCACAGGGTATAGTCCTGATCCATTCCTGATGCTTGTGCTCTGAAAGAAATGTGTCCTGAAACTGCTTGACTTGCTTTCAAAAAGACAAAGCTTCTGTCACCTGTCCCAACTTGTCCTGCTCCTTCTTGGGGAGAAACTGTCTATTTTGCACAGGGCCAGGTCTATCTTTGTAATGCCCTTCTGTCAGCGGAGGTGCTCGTACACCACAATCATCTCCTTGATAAGCTAAAAAAGTTATGCTCTCTGTTCACAGAAATCTGTGTAATCTGTAGTGCATAATTACTCTTAGTATGTTTTCTGCCTCACCTAGGAAATGGAAGAATTTGTTCAGAGCTCAGGGAAACATGGCATCGTGGTATTCTCTCTTGGGTCGATGGTCTACAACCTAACTGATGAAAAAAGTAATGTGATTGCCAGAGCCCTCAGCCAGCTTCCACAAAAGGTGAATTTCCTTTCCAGTCTAAAACAATTTGTCTTGTTTTTTTGTCACTCCTGTTGCCTTCAGCGAGCCTTTCGCATTTGGACTCACCTGGTTTTTATCTGCATCTCTGCTGGATGTACCACAGCTGGGAAGCTGTGCTCTGCAGAGGCAGACTGCTGAGTCACCTCATGGGGAGTTCTGCCGTTTCCCCTTCTCTGCACCAAACGACATGGAGGTGTGTCCATAGGCCAAAATACAAAAATCACTCTATGTGATTTTTATAATAAGCACCTAATAACTAATCAAAGAGCTAAACTGGAGCAAAAGCTATTTGAATTACTGGGAAAAGGTACGTGGGTTTGAGATAAAGCCCTAGATTACATCTAAAAATACAGAAGGGTACGTCACATGCACTACGTTTATCTTCCTTTGTTCAAGGTCCTCTGGCGGTACAAAGGAAAAAAACCAGAAACTTTGGGCTCCAACACCAGGCTTTATGACTGGATACCCCAAAATGACCTGCTTGGTGAGACTGATTCTATCTGGGATGTGTTGCACCCTTGGAAAAACTGTTTCCTTCTTTGTTTTTTCCACTAAAACGGCTTATTCAGGCAAAAGAACCACATAACACTTGTGGCTACAATTAGTTTTGCAGCTTAAGCAGCAGAGGTTTGCTCTTGGGGCCTTAATTTCCTAGCCTGCTTTTGACAGGCTTTGAAGGGAGTAGGAAGCAGTGGCTCAAGAAGGCAGCAACTTGAGCTTAGCTATAAAGATGGATCTCTAAAGCAAACGCCTCTGTCTTACAGAGCTCAGTGGCAATTGTCTGGAAAGGCTAAGAACCACGTCTAGGCAGGCTAAATATCAAAGTAGACATGTACTCTGGAGCTGGATTTGGCCTCTGCAGTTAATCTCCAGGGCTCATTCTTCAAAATGCTTGACCTAAGCAAGGCTGCAGCAGAGGGCTGTTGTGAACATGATACCATGTAAAAACTAGAACTGCACAACAGCAGAAGGGCTGAAGTAAGTCTGGGGTAGTCTGGAGGAAAATGTTGATTCATATATTGCATTAAAATAAACATGAATGTGTGAAAGCAAAGCATGTAAGCTCTGACGCTGATCCAGAGGTCAGGGCTTTTCCCTTCTCTAGCCATACACTTGCCTGGGTAGTTTGCAGTGCTCACATCCCCAGTGACCACAGTCTGCCGCAGCTGCTGCTACACATGCCTCTCCTTCCCTATTCAGGCCACCCCATGACAAAGGCCTTTATTACTCATGGTGGGACCAATGGGATCTATGAAGCTATCTACCACGGGATCCCAATGGTTGGGATTCCCATGTTTGCCGACCAGCATGACAACATTGCTCACATGAGGGCAAAGGGAGCTGCAGTTGAGCTGGATTTCAGCACACTGAAGACGCAGGACCTAGTCGATGCATTGAACACAGTCATTAACAATTCCACGTGAGTTTTGTTCTTGCCTTACAGTAAGATGAGGTTATGAAAATTTTGAGCTGTTGATGTGAGAAATTCTGCTGGCTCTTCTGGGAACCAAAAATACTGAGTAGCTGGAGTTTGGGTTTCAGATGAAAACCACCTTTCATTTCTAAGAATGAGCATTTCTCAGAAAGGAGAAATCAGTAATTTGATTTTCCATATATTACATTTTATGATCCCTTTGAGAAAAATAGTTCTTGGAAAGCCCAGAGCAGCTCCTGAGACAGTTTTCTGCTCTCTCTCTCTCTCCCTTGCTCTCTGCAAGTAGAAATCCTCTGGAGGCTCTGGGCAACAATTCTACTTCTGTCTACTCTGTCTGTAGCCACAATTCTTTCTCCTGAGCTACCAATATCCTTAGGTTACTGTACCTATCAGTCAGGAATTACAGGCTAAGGAAGCCTGGCAGCTGGAATCCCTTGCTAAGGATAAGGCCATTGACAAATGGATTGGACAAAAGGCAGGAGTCCTCAGTCTTTGGCAGCAACTCCTGTCAAGTGTGAAGGACAGGTATCCCTTCAGCAAAGAACTTGCAAATTCCCAAAGAAAATGGACCAACATTGATGGAGGTATCCTGTATCTGAGGGAATTAGCCATGGTGGAGGTGATCTGTAACAACCTGGATGATGACAAGGCATCCAAAGACCCAGATGAAATCCAGTGCACGCAGCCCCCCTGCCAACCTCCCTCCTAGTTTTATTGCCGAGCATGACGTCATAGAGTATGGGATACCCCTCTCGTCAGTGGGGGTCAGCTGTCCTGGCTGTGTCCCCTCCCAGCTTCTTGTGCACCCCAGCCTACTGGTTGGCAGGGTGGTATGAGAAGCAGAAAAGGCCTTGAGCTGTGTAAGCACTGCTCAGCAATAACAAAAACATCCCTGTATTATCAACACTGTCTTCAGCACAAATCCAAAACACAGCCCCATACTAGCTTATGTGCAGAAAATGAACTCTATCCCAGTCAGAACCAGCACACTATATTATACTGGAACAGAAAATGCTGCAAATGTTTCCATGTTGCTTTTTTTAAAGGAGTATCTGGAATAATTTTGAATAACTTTTCTTTGCAAAAGATTGGCTTTCTCTATTACTGTTCATAACCCAATTTTATGCAGATAGGAGTAAACTGGGCCAGTTTCAAATATATTTACATAACACTGATGAAAGTAAAAGCAGGGCTGTCTACCTTCCTCAGGAGGATGGCCACGTGCTGAATGGGTTGTTTCAGGAATCAGTGACAAATCTTGGTTTCTTCTTTATTCCCCAGCTATAAGGAAAATGCTCTAAGGTTATCCAAGATACACCATGACCAGCCAGTTAAGCCGCTGGACAGAGCTGTCTTCTGGATTGAATTTGTCATGCGTCACAAAGGAGCAAAGCACTTGAGACCAGCTGCTCACCATCTCACCTGGTACCAGTACCACTGCCTGGATGTTCTGGCATTCTTGTTCACCAGTACAGCCATTGCTGTCCTCACTCTTGTCAAGTGCTGCTTATTTTGCTGTAGGACATGTAGCAGGATTGCAAAGAGGAAGAAAGAATAGACATCCTGTTCCCATCAGCAGTTTTTCTTCTCCTAGGCTGATTCAGCAAGGCATTTATGCACATTCTTTGGTGAATAAAATTATTAGGATATGCTTTAAGCTGGGCATATCACGAACCACCCTGTTGAACTGGGTCATACTAAAAAGCTGTTGTGTGGCAGAGCTGCTTGCTTAGCCAGCAAATTCCTTCTGGCCTAAATAAGATTGAATTATAGTTGCTTTATCCCTTGGGACCCTGTTAGCTGATCACACATGGTCCCTAGAACAGTAAATGCTGCTCTAACTTTTCAAATTAATTTTGGTATATTTCATAAATTCAACCTTTCCATGTGTGTGGTACTGTGGGTCCCTCAATCTGCAACTTGTCTCCTTACCTTAACTCTGTCCTCTCCTATAATGTCACCCAGGCTTTACGATTCACAACCAAAATGCCTCTCCTGTCAGAATAGCTCTCTCCAGATTGAACAGTGAAGCTAAGACCACAGGCTCCACAGGTGCCCATCTGAATGGCCAAGATCATAAAAAACTTAGAGCTGCAAGTGGCTGGTGAAGCTTGTATCATCACATTTTTACAAATGTACTGACTGCTTGGGGGCTGAGGGGAGACCAGAGTTCTAAAACCAGCAGAGAAATTACTTTTCTGAGAACCATTTATTTTCCATTCAGTCTGGAGTCCTGTTGCACAGGCCATCATTCTAACTGCAACACTGTAAGGGTGTGAACACCACCTCTGTCAGAAACTTGCCCATCTTAACCCTCAAATGCCTCTGAGCCACACTAACTGATAAACACAGGAAAACCTTTAGAGACAGCACTTGCAAAGAAGTAACATTACATGTGGGAACAGTGCAATAGTCACTTGCCTTGCCTGAAAAGTTGGAGGGAAAATAATGCTGCTCTTGGCTCAGATAAGAGTGGTAGCAAACACAGCACTCCTGAAATTGTTCAAGGTGCACTTACTGATGAAAGCCTACTAAACAGATGCTAGGCTCAGGCCTCCTGTTCTAGGTAAGGTTATTCCACTGCTGTGCCCACTTACTCAAGAAAGAACCTGCCCCAATTTTAACTAATATTTGCTGTATTCTGGATGCTGCAGAATTGTTTTCAAACAGAACAAGCTGAGAAAACATGTTATATTTGTTTATATAATAAAATTCCCTACACTACATTAACTTTTTTATTAGCATTGTCAATGGTTTCAGTGTCTGCTTAAGTCTCTTCATACTACAACATTTACAAAAGCTCAAGTGAATTGTTTCCAAATTAAAAAGGGATTAAAACAAGACTAGTGCTTCTCATGGTAAATTCTGGTACACTGTTCCTATGGTCACGATGGGATCATATGCAGGAATATGCATATTGAAATATGCATAGTGAACAGAAAGCAGAACAGCAGGCCCCAGATCTTAGAAGACCACTACAGGCCTCAGATCTGAAAGGTGTTGCTATACCTGTTCATAGAGCTGGGTCCCTAGGCACAGCTCCACCAAGCTTGATCACTAACAGCCCCCATCATCCAGCTTCTGCAAGTGGAAGATTTGCTGAGATGTCAGTTTGATTGCCAGAAGGCCAGCAAGCCTCCTAGCATACTGCATGGACACTGGTCAGACAGGCCTAACACAGGAAACAGGATAGCTGGGAAAAGTTGGACAGAGAAAGTGCTCTGCAGTCACTTTAAGGAGGTTCTTCTTTTCTGTAACATCTTCAGAGAAATTTGGCTTCACTCATATTGAATTTAAGAAGTAAAAAAGAAAACCAACCAAAATCAAAACCCCCTCTTCTTTCCAGAATCTGTATATAAACCAGGGAAAGATATCAAAGAATGAAGGTGGTCTATGACGCATTTCTCCAATTAAGACACAGTACGTGTACTGAATTTGATAGACTGATCTAATCCTACTGCTAATAGGTGTACCTCTCGGTGCATAGTAAACTGTTTTGAGGAACCCAAACCTATGTTCAACTTCGTGTAGTGTTTAAAAAATGCCAACATCCTTGCATGTTGGAGGTCAAACTTTTTGCTTAGCACAAGTAGATGTTTACTATAGCTGTGTAGAGTAAAACATACAGAGGCCAAATTCTTGTCAGATCTAAACCCCATGTTTCCGCAACTGCCACACCATGGCCAAACCGTATTGCAGTTTATAAAAACAGGTACAGCACTCAGCACTGTGGAGTCAGAGGTCTTTAAAGCACATGCTACAATCTGGTTTTGTTACATGAGAAGACACTGAAGAAAGGCTACGAAGAAGTCCACTGAGCAGTGCTACTCATACAAGTTTTGAGAACTAGGAAATTGCTGGAGAAACTGAACAACTTCCACCACAAGTTTTACTTCCCTTTTTTCACAGTTTTACCATTGGCATTTAGATTCAAATATTTCCTAATTAAGACAAATAACAAGTGATGCAGTAATCACTACAAAGAAGACATGGGGAGAGTCTGGATCTTGCAGGATTAACACACTCCTGGGAGACAGGTATGATTATGGCCAAGGACAGCCTCTGAATAGCCCAAAGATCATTTGATTAAGCTGAACATGTAAGGTCCTAGTAACTCCGATTAGCCGCAGGAGCTGTAAGTTGACTACTTCACTGTGGAAACAGAAAAGCAATTACCTTTTGTTGCAGCAGTCCTTTTCCTAAATTCAGGCTTCAGAACAACTTCACCTATCAGAAGAACCTTTAAACTATTCTTGAACACAAATACTTTCATAGAACTGCCAGAATCTATCAAAGCTGGCAAACTTAGAAGACCAAGAAACCCGATCTGGAGTTTTGATCATTTCAATAGTTACCAATTTATTTTTATAAAAAAAAAAAAAAAAAAGGTAGCAATGTAGAATACAGCAATATTCTCTGGTTCCACACACGCAGGTTGTGAACATTCCAAGCAATGTGTACATTTTTGGAAAGAGACTAGACAAGAGAATTGACCAAAATGTTACTGAACACGGGAAGATTTTTAAAAAAGGTTAAAAATTAGGTATCAATAGTGTCTTCTTAATATTGCTTTCATTACTGAAGACTGAAAAAACACTTGACTTTACAGATAGGCTTTAAAAAGGGGAGGGAGAACAAAAAAAAAAAAAAAAAAAGGCTGCTACAACACTGCCATACAGTCAAATAAATCATACTTCAATATTTGCATACTTGATAGCAGCATTCTCCCACTGAACCATGTGAAACTACAGGAAGAAAACATCAAAGCAAAAAAAAATATGGCAGTTATCCATCAGTATTCAAAAACCTAGAATGAAGTCACTAAGTAGATGAACACTTATTGAGAATTAATCAGTATCTACATTCTTAGCTGTTTCCCATTCTGCTCCAATAGAAACGCGAAGTTGAGTGTCAGCTTTGCGCCATTTTATTTTTGGCCGATTTGAGTTTTTCCAGTTCATAGTTCACTGCATGCTTGGAATAGAGAGGGTCATTATAAATCCTTCTACACAACGAACTTTAAGTAGACAGCTGAAAATAAAATGTACTACTTGTAAACACACAAAAAAATACAAGCTTTTTTTGTTTCAAGTGAGCACTGGTTCCAGATAGATTATCTTCGGTATCTACCTCTTTCACCTCTGTCTCTGTCCCGGTCACAAATCCTCTCTCTCTCCCTTTCCCGATCACGACCTCTGTCACGTTCTCTGTCTCTTCTGTTATCTCTAGGACGGTCCCGTTCCCGCTCTCGGTCCCTCTCCCGAGGCCTGCTTCTCCGACCGCTGACAACTGCTTGTGTGCGGCGAAGAAAGTCGTCTACTCTCATGTCATAGTCGTGCTGTGATGAAAGGACAGCTTTGTTTATTTTCTTTCCCAGATTAAAATCCCCTCCTTTCCCTTATCTGTAAGACTGGTCGTAACTCTGGGGAAAGACCAGTATTTAAAAAAAAAAAAAAAAAAAAAAAAAAATTATGTCCAGCATCCATAAGCACAAATTTCTTCTTTCATCTTCAGGGCAGCACCATGTCTGTGCTTCCACTGTGCAGAAGCTGGGGTCAAATGCCAGATACCAGCAAGAGACCTGAAAGCTAAGCAGCCTTCAAAGCCAGCTAACAGAAATTATTTAACAATCTACCCTGTTTTTTGATGTGCCTGTAAAAAGTTAACAAAACACAAACTTTTCTGCTGATAATTTGTTTATGCATGAGTGCAAGCATGTCCTTATTCAAACTGGGCTTCATCATGAAAAGTTTCAGAACTAGACAGCTGGAAGTCATTTTAAGCACACACCTCAGTTTAAGAGTATGTTCTCAGAATTTTGCACTTCTACATCACCTGTGAGAGAGGCTTTTTGAAGATGCTGGAAGTCTGTAGTCAGTCTAAATAACTGATCTTTCCAATGAAAACTAATACACGTCTTAAAAACAGTTTATCAAAGTCAACAAATCTCAGGTTAGGTTACATCTGTACCCCCAAATTCCTACTCTGGCCTGCAGACTCTCCTCCCCCTCTGTCTCTGTGGGCACTTACTACTCGTTTGTCTCTGTATCTTGCTTCATGTGGTACAGGATGATGTCCTGAGTATGGAGGGTGAGCTTGAGGTGGAGGTGCATGGTGCTGATAGTAAGGGTGGTGTGGTGGCTGCTCCATACCTGGATATGGTGGCTACAAGAAAGTTACAGTAAGTTTGCTGAGTGTTTCAAAACAAAGAAATGCACACAAGGCTGACTGCTGGGAATTAAGAGCAGAGGTTACTTTCATTCAGATGGAAAACATGACATCTACATCTATTCAATCACAGCCTCCTAACTGAATGGCAGACTATTTTTCATTAGGTTGGCATGCTTTACTACTTCTTTACCATTGCTTTTTTAGAAGTTTGGCTAACACCCTCCACAAACCCCAAACACGCCTTCTTTCCGTATCTGCCTCAAAGTGATACTGTACATAAAATTTCTGCTACTTAAATATGGTGTTGTTGTTTTTTTTTTTTAATCCATGCATATGGAATGTGAATTTTGTCTGAACCAGCAAGTTCTTAACGAAATGAGTCTTTTTAGTGCCATTGCTTATGAATATATTCCTATTTTAAATGAACAAACTTACACTGCAATTATTTGACAAAAGGCTAGCAGATTTTTTTTTTTTAACAAGACATCTCTTGCCTGTTTCCATTTCTTCAATCAGCAAGGCCTTTCTTTCCTTTATTACTGAAGCATCTTTACTTGCATTGCTGTCACAAAGGAAGTAGGTGGAAATGCTGGATTGCAGCATGACTACTTGGACAGCATTCAGAATGGGGAAGAGGGGAGAAAAAAACCTGGGAGCTTCTGGAGGCTTAGCTGTGTTTGAAAAACCATTTTCCTCCCCATCTGACCACTTCGTTCACTTCCATCAATTACAACAAACCAGAGTTGTGCTTCAGCTGAGAAAACTCTACATATGGAACTGCCTTTTGCTCATTTGCAGCATACACAAGAGCCAAAAGACTCATTACAGTTAACCAAAATCAGGACCTTCAGGGCCAGAATTACTAAATATAACCAAATTAACTAGTTGTAATGACTGTTCTTCCTGATATGATGGCAAAACCACAGCTGTACAAGTGAACTATCAGTTAATTGCCACGTATGTAGCCATAGATACGTGCACTCATACATATGCTCATCTGACTGGAAAAAAAAGTGCATTTCAGTGGAGGCTGCAATACAGCAAGACTTATTTTGATTACGGTGTGCAGTACATTCTGCTACTTTCCTGCATGCTTCACTGCCATAGCCAAAAGCAAGCCACTGCACAACAATAGAGCATGCCAGCCTGTTCCATGAGCCTCTGCAGCAAGTCCACCTCTTTGACGCCTTTGCTGTTTGAGAGAAAGCCAATTACCATGAATACTTAGCGGAGTACAAAATTTCATCACACCCTCTTGTGTAGGTTAAAGGAGGGTTCTGCTATTTCCTCAGAGCTTTCAGTTCCTTGTAGGTTCAAACCAAGCCAGATTCCTGCTGCTGTACTGCTTAGTAGAATGCTGGACTACTGCTGAGAGCTAAGTAAATTACAAAATACATTATATAAATAATTTTTTCCCCTAAAAATTTTACATACTTACAGCAAAGATACATTTTACGAAAAGGGAAGAGTTGAGCACGCATTGATATGCTAGGCTCCTCTAGCATGGAACAAAAAAGCGCCATATTCTACAGAGAAAAATTGAATTCAACAAGACACAAACCATTCCTTGCCATGGTGGTGGTGGTCCCATGTTGTGGAATTCCCTCACGTAATCGTTGTAGGACTAAAATGAAAGACAGTAATATTAACATTTGTGATGAGTGTTCTTTGGAAGCGCAGAAAGCTGAATATAAAAAGTTCCCCAAAAGTCTGCATGCACCAACTTACCCCATTTAAAAATACATCTCGTCGAACTCCTGAAAATCGTCTGTTGGGAATAAAAATTTGTAGAACTAAATCCAATTTATCCATACAGACAAGTTACCAGGGCATAAAATGAATAATATGAACACACCTTACCTGTCTACTTCAGGATATCTGGGATCCTTTATATACCCTGTTCGAACATCAAGCAGTATTAATTCAATTTACCATCTCAAGTTAACAGTCTTAAAAAATATACTCATTACAAACTGTCCTTTCATTTTGTGCCAGCTATGAAGTTGTGTCTACCTGCCATTACCCTCGCTTTCAAAATAACTCTCAAAAACTTACTTCTTGTAGACAGTACAGAAAAACAGTATAATGTAGTGGCAAAAAAATGATACAGATATACCCACAGGAACTTGCACACAGTACAAACAAACATGCAAGGGGCTATCTGTGCAAATAAAGACTTGAATTTGAGTCAAACGAATTGGGAACGCCCACAAATTTGAAGGGTACTGTCCCTTGGCAGTGAGCATATGGCTGTTACTACTTACTAGCTGTGTATTGAGTAGAATGTGTTCATCTGGGCAACTCTTAAGGCTGATTGCCTAATAGGTTTTGGACACACTGTTACACAGAAAATTAAAAACAATCTAAAAAACATCCAGAAAAGCCCCACAGGGCAAAGAATTCTTACAGCTTTAGTAAATCCCAGGAAGTAAACTTTAAAGAGCTCAGTAAAATGGTGCAAAACACAAAGCATCCTTATGCTAATAAAATAATGCTTCAATATTTTACGAAATTGTGTTCTGTACTCTAAACAATGGTCTTGGAAACCCAGGGAGCAGCAACAACACTCTTTTTGCATTGAAGAACACAGTCTTTGCAGTCAAGCTGGACAGATAAAGGCAGGTTCTTAAGAAAGATTTAGAAATCTACTACTGAAATAACGGAATACATATTTCTAATAGCAGTGAAGCAAGATTTGGTAGATTAAAAGTGACAATTTCTTAATAATTGCTTTCTGAAGAAAAAACACAAACCTGCAATATTACCAGTATTGTTGCTGCATTACCGCTGCAAACATTTCTTTCTGGAGAACAAAATTCCTTTCTCAAACTCATCATTAGACCCTCTTATAAAATGCAGTGAAACTTCCCCCTCCCTTTCTCATGTCAAGCTTGTGAAATAATTCTCTCTTGAAAACATAACCAAATGTCTACCGTCATCTCTAAACAACAGGCTGCTAGTCATGTAATCTCAGCTGACTTTCCCAGTTGGAAATTTGTGATAAACATTTTAATTTGATGATTAGCACATTGACAAGTAGGTCAAACCAATTCTTGTGCCCATATTAACAAAGCACTTGAGAGGATCATTCACAACAATGTACACAATTCTAAGGCTCTTAAAAGGGCTCAGCCTGGATTAACTCAGTGCTCTTCTCTCAAACCAGTGAAACAGTGTCACTGACTTCTACGAGAGGTGGGGTAAACCAGCAGGCAGCACTTGGGACAAGTCCCATTTTTATATCCCAGTCATACCAGTATTTTACTTTTGAATTAATGAGGATACACTAAAAGAGAAAACATTTGTGAATTGGTGCACACAAATCTTCATAGTAAGATATTAACCTGGTCTTTGGTGAAACTCAGGGGGATAGTCAATCCTTGGTTTCTTTCTGCTGTTATGAATATCATAATCTTCTGGTCGACGCCTACACAAATTAGATATCAAAGATTAAACAAGGTTGCTTGGAGCATTCGTCACAGCAGAATACCTCACAGGAATAGCTTGAGCTGCCCAGGTTCTCAATTAAATCATTCTGAATTTCATCTGCTTCAAAATGTTCTACAGCTTTAAATTTGAACTCAAATAATCAAGAGTAACAGTCCGATTAAATACCCTCCACTGTTACTTTCTGGCTACAGGAGCTTTGGTAGTTAAGGAAGGAACTCTACCCAACTGTACCTTCACACCAAACAAAGTGTAACAAATTTGTCTAAAACAATCTCAGACTTAAGCTTTAACATTACACTTTCCACATTACATTTTGAAACAACCTATTGGATAACAAAAGAATTTACAGAACTAAATACAGTGAAAATAGATGGCAAAATATATCATCACAGTCAGAAGGCATGGACATTGCTGTATTTGACAGCTATGGGCTGAAGAATTCTATAAAAGGTCTATTTCCATAACATTTATAAATAAAACTGCACATGCTTTGTGAAATTGCTTCCTTCACTGTAGCTTTTCTAACTGAGTAGGCCAATGATATTATTTCTAACAACTTCTGTTCTATGCAATTTACCAGCAATGCATCGGTGCCTTTTACAGAAAATTTAAGAACGCTTAAGCTTCCTAATAATTAAAATAATTGGGGCTCCTTTCTATAAAACAGCTCTTTGATGGAAGAGATGTTATTTTTAAGAACTTCGCTCTCTGGGAGGAAGTTTGATTATAAAACAGTTACATTCCAGTTGCTGTTATGTTTAATAAATAACCGAAAACTGGCTGCTAATTTTGCTCCACCAAGGTACATAAACATTAATGGGAGACTCCAGTGCTAACATAACAGTGTTTCTAAACACAAAGCAGCTACAAATCCATTCCTTTCCCCCCCAGCAATATAATTCCTTATGACAAGACAAGAAATCAACACTTTCTTATATCGCTTAATTACTGTGCAACTTGCTCGCTGAGTAACAAGCTCATTTATAGTAATTTCTCCTCCCCCTTCCCGACTTCAGTCTTTAAAGCCCACCATACCCAGTTACTAAGCTTTTTAAAATGAAAGCAGATTCTTTACTATGAGCAAAAAGCCCAAAAACCAAAGCAGTTGCATCTACAGCAAAATCAGATCAAGGAAAATAAAAGCTGGTGTAAAGAATAAACATACCGCTTTCTTGTAGTTTTGAGAGTGCATTTACGACCGGTATAAAATATGATAGAAACAGTTCATATAGTAGTCCAACTACTGACTTTAAGCTGTAAGCCACATACATAAATGGAGGCCCTGGCAGGCTTGAGAAGGTGTGGTGGTGTTATATGTATAGTTTGCAGTCCATTGCAAAACCTTCACTTGTATATACTTTATTGCACTGGAAACCTCTTAGCTTAACTTCAAAAGCCATCTTGGTGTTCAGTCCTTTAAAGCCAAAAAAATGGGGGCGCTGCCAGGTTTCCTCCTACCTACTCGTTACAGTGTCCTTTTTTTAAGCTCAAGGAAATGGGGACTCTTGTTGGGTATCTGTACCTACCACAGGATGTTTCCACAAAGAGGAAACTTAATCAAAGGTTTCAGCCCAAACCATACATCAGTCTGTATGCAAAATGGCTACACGGGGAAAAGGTGTTTGGCAGGAGGGCTAATATCAGTTCTTTGCAAAGACTTCTCCAATTCTGTAACAAGTTATACCCCCTTTTTTTCTGGAAAATGATGTTAAGTTCATATAGCAGTGATCAATAACCATGTCGATCCTCTAAAAATACTTTAAGTCCACAGGTACTGCCAGCATCTGGAAAGGTTGTATATACAGACACAGCAACAGCCATTCTTTTTGGTTTGTTGCCGGGTCTCCAAGGGCCACTTGATCCCTTTTGGAAAGAACCTACTGTTTTCAGAAGCTCAGCAAGATGTGTGAATTCAGTGGTTACATGTTAGAGAATATTTGGCAATGGGGTTAACACATCACGGTGACACAATTTGAAACAGTCCCAATAATGCTCCTCTTGAATATCAAAATAACTTAAATATTTTATCCTCAAAATGAGGCGGCATCTTCTGCAAAATTCTAAGTGATCCTTATAAAAGTCCCATATTTGATAAGGCTTATCCAGAGACACACCTGAAAGAAAAGGCTTTTACAAGATATTAACACATTTTTGGCATATAAATATTTCCTTCTCTCCATCTAGCCTGCTTATAATCAAGCCAAGCTTACCTACATCTAGCATTACACGTTGCATTATCTCAGTAAATGATCTAGTCTAAACTAGACAGCACTTTAAGAGCTTTTTTCTGCAAAAGCAAAGATCCCCATTTTCCTCTTGAAAAATGACAGACCAGGGAACCATGTGAAATCCTCAATGAAGCCACAAACTTGTCCATGCAGCTTGATTTGAGGATTTTCTCTCTTCTTTATCGCAGGGAAAGCTTTGACGAATCACATTCCTCCATCACGTTATTCTGATACATGTGCCTATTATCAGTCCAAAGAACGTTTCTAACCTTCCCACGTCCCGAACAGGGTCTCGACGGGATGGCCGTCCTCTTGATCGGGGTTGTGAGTGCATTCTTCTCTTGTGCCTCATTTTATGAATGACTTGATACAAGTCAATACTTTCATCAGGAGGGAAGAGAAGACAAAGTTGGGTTCCACATTCCGGCTCAATTTCCTAGAATTAGTTAGAAGTTCAGTAGTGGTTTATAAACTGAAGAAATGAAACTCTCCCCAAATACATTGACAACATACATTAAAAAAAAAAATTAAAAAAGACACTTCGAAGAGATTTCAGTATCACTAGAGACAGAGCAAAATTCACTTACATTACCTTTCACTCTTTAGGCACTACTTAGAATTTTCATAAAATAGTCCAACACTTGGGGCAACCATATCTTCCCATGAGACATACAGGCCACATCACTGTTTTGCTACAAAATCAGAGGACTGTTTTTCATCACAAAGAAAATGATCACCTATTACAGAGAGAAAAGTGACACACGTAGGAAAAAAATCCATCCCAGCTTCACATATAAAGCCATGGCCTGACAAAGTTGACTATTACCACTCAAAAGTGAGTTCTTCAGTGTATGATAGACAGGTCCATGAAAATACCAGCTCAATGTTTGACAGCAGTCAAAACAAGCAAATCGTGTGGTCAGGATTATTAGGAAAGGAACACAGAATGAGAAAGTCATTATACCACACTGAAAGTCCATGTTCCACCCACACCTTAAATGCTGGGTGCAGTTCTGACCCCTGCATCTCAAAAAACAGCGGGGCAGTAGAAATGGAAAAGCTTCAAAACAGGGCACCAAAGATAATTGAATAAGTGCAACAATTCCTACATGCAATGACTGAGCAGGTCAGGTCTCTCCAGCCTAGAATAAAAGAGGATTATGTGAGGTATGGGGGACAAGATGGATACAATGGGAACATCCGACACCATGAGCTGTTTGGAGGAGAGAGGGACAGCAATCAGCTTGTTGACTCCCCCTTCCAGTACAAGAACCAAGGGCCATCAAATGAAGCTAGCAGGAGCCAGGTGCAAAATAATCCAAAAAAAGTGCTTCTTCAACCTGGTGACTAGCAGGCCTGTGGAACGCCTTCCCAAAGAATGTCACAAATGCAAACACGTCGGTGTACACATCCTCAGAATAGAGATCCATTCAGAGTTACACAAAATGTAAATGGATAAACAACAACCACTTCAGGAAATAACCCGAGTTGAAAAGCAGGGAGAGCAAGCATCAGGCAATGCTTGCCCAGTACCTGACAGCACCGCAATTTTATGAAAAAAGATGAAACCCACATCTAGATTGCAACTCTACAGTGAAGTGGACAAAACATTAAAAAATTTATTTCCTTGACCATATAACAGAAACCAAGTTAACTGAAATACTTTTTTTTTTTTTTTTTTTTTTTTAAGTTCACGATGAGTTAAAAACAAGACCGAAAATATTCTTTTACTTCTGCCACCCAACAAACTGAACATGTCTGTGGGCAAAATAACACACAGAGCCTACATTTTCCATACAGTATGGGGATTATGCAACTCCCATCTTGCCTTAAGAAAGCAGAACCTGTTATTTTAGTCAAGGCTGGGTTACTTGATGACAGCAACATACCTGCACTCTGGTATGCCTGACCAGACAAAGAGCCACCCCACTTAAAATTTACTTAGCATATACTTTATAATGGTAGAGTCTATGCCCTAAGCAATACAGTATATATAAAAAATGCAACACAGAACACAGCTGGAAACACCAGAACTTGCTCTTAAAAACTGATGCTATATAGGTTTGCACACCATACAATGCAAGGCACGTTACATTTCAAATCCAAAATATCACATAGTTTTGAAGCATCAAACACTGCTTATCCACAAAGATGACAAGAGAATTGGCACAGTATTGTTTACTATTTCCTTCTTCCGCAATAACATTAGAAATAAGCCAAGTGCCTTTGTCACAGTACTCTACTGCAAGTAACAACTGATCTAAAAAGATTCCACATCTTCTGTACATACAAAGCTGAAAGCAAGCACTAGATGTGGGTCATAGAAAAAAAAAATAATTAACAAACCTGTCCATCGCGTCCAATCTTTACTGGCTTATGTTCGTTCCAAGGATTGGTCAGGTGAGCAGACTTAGTGAACGGCAATTCACGCCTAAATATGCAAGTGGCATCATTTATAGTTTTGCCTCCATTTTTCTTTAAAAAAATTTAAAAATGCATACAGCAGGACATTACATACAAAATAATCCTGTTACCCTTTGCACTGTCAGGTCTCTGAATGAACGTATTAGTACATAATAAGTATTAGTAACCGAAGATTTCCACTTTGACTTATTCCAGTATTAACTAGTATAGTCCATACCATTACAGCTTATCCTATTAAAGAATTGGTTTTTTGTCTCTGTACAATATCAAGATCGTGCTTGCTTATTATCTCACCATCTGAATATGCTGACCAGTCTCTATGTGAGGTGGTAGCTCATGGTACCTACTGAAGTAAATGCCTGAGCACCTGACCTAACTACGAAGCTAAAACCACTTTGAGCTTGAGGTGGGAGTCAGTAACTTCCAGAGGACCTTTCCAACCTAGATTTTTCACTAATTCAAAGTCTTGCCTTCCCTGTATTTAGTCTTTCTGGCAGCCCGAAGTGCTTGTACAACCATGCAATGTATGTCACAGGACTGAAACAGCTCTTTTTCCTAAGAGAGGTTTAAAATCTTTTCTGTAAGACATACTCAGTTAAATCAATGAACGTACTGCTCACAACCTATACGTTATGCAAAATATCTGTACTATTTCTTACATTATTTTAAAGCAGCAGCATCTTCTTTGTTCAGTCAGATGAAGACAGATCTGTCCTCACAGGATTTATTTTTCCTTTTTATCCACAGCTGTCTATGCAAGTGAGCAGCTGTTTTTATTCAAAGACTTCAGAATACAGTTTTCTGGTTTCAGTGCAATAGATCAGTGAAGGAACACAATCAAGTGTTAAAAATCTCTAAATTAATTAATTGTCTACATAATAAAAAACCCCCATATTTTCTACAGTGCATGTCAGGTACAGTAACACCTGACCCAAGCTCAGTAACATGGAGGCATGGATTTGGGGAGATTGGAGGACAGATCTCTGGTTGAATTGAATTTTCAAAAGGATTCTGTCAGCACTCGAGTGAGTAATACACATAAATGGTATTGTAATGCCTTGTTACTAAACAGCAATATAAATGAACAATTACTTGCCTGCAAATCCAGTCAATTTTAAAGACACCTCCCAACATTTTTGCATTCATTCCTGCAGGCAGCACCCAGTGTATAGGTGATCCTCCATGATGGGACTCTGAAGACAGTCTTGCAAATCCTAAAGGATTTCACATGAATTATAACAAAGACACAACAGAAAAGCTACTGCACATAAAACTTTCACTTACCTTGGTAATAGCTCACTTTCCCTTACCTTGGAATTTGCCACTCTCTCTTACAGAAAATATCAAAATAACACTCCTCGCTGATCTAAATGCAGCATTAAGCTTCTTTTCATTCACTGGAAGTGTCGACCATACTCCCTAAAACAGAACAACCCCCACCCCCCCCACCAAAATGTAAGAGTTCATCTCAAGTGATTTAGCCAACAGAAGTATATAGTACAGATGAGGAAAACAAGACCAAACTAGTGTTCTGGGACAGAAGATAATGGAAAGAGAAAGGTATTGCTAAATTCAGTTCCTTCAGAAAATATTTTTAGCCTGCCCCATGAGAAAACTTTTAAAACACTGGCTTTTCAATCCCTTTTTGAACACTGCAGATGCATTTAGACCATCTATAAGGTTTCATTTGTAATTATAATGATGGACAGATATATAAAAACCTTTGCCTTCAGTATTTTTAATGTATGTTCTAAGTGACTTTGGGAGTTCATTTATTATATAATACACACAAATTATGAAAAACCAGCAGCAGATATACTGAAAGGTGGGCAGGCAGACTTCAGTAACCTTCTCAGTATGACAGATTTGTTGAGGACAGGTTGCAGACTTTAAAACTCTTTCAGTGAAAGGCCAGAAACATCAAGGACACCAGACCAACATTTTAAATTAGCGAGATAACTTAAAACCGTTTGTTCAGCCACCCACATCCCCACCTACTAAATCCTACCTTTTCCCTTTCACCAGTCATTGTGTAGCCATGCACAATAAAACCTAATTTGTTTTAAGGTACCAACTGAGCTGAGCTACAGAATACCAGTTTGCTGTATTACTTTTCAGCAACATCAGCTCTCCAATCCATTCTCTGGGAAAACTCAGAGAAGCTTATGCTGGTTTAATATGTTCAGACTTCAGCCTCAGAGTATGATCTGGGAACTACTAAAGAAAATGTTCCTCCCCTTCCTTTTTTATTGAAGATATGTTCTCATGTCCTACTCTGTGCTCAGATTAGTGCTTGCCTGACTCAGACAATTCATTAGAGTCACCAGAGAACTATCTGAGTTTTTTTACTAGCTTTCAATCAGATGTATATTGCTTCAGGCTGCTTGTGAAGCCCTGTTGTGAACTGGTACTTGTTACATTGGCACCACAAAAGCCAGTTTCATGAAAATGCAGTGGCAAAGCACTGATGCCTATACACTGAGAGACAAAGCATCCACTCCAAGAACTTTAGGAACAAGTATACTGCTGCAGCCCCAAGTGTGGATGAGGCACAGAAAGGATATACTCCTCTAAAGACCTAAAGCAATCACCAGTTAGAATGGTGTTCGCTGCACAGATCACACCCAAAGCTGGGGGCAGGGGAGCCAAACCTATCCAGGATTTTTAAGATTCATGTAATTGTTTTAATGCTATTCTATTTTAGAAAATCTTCATTAACAGAATAACCTACTCCATGTATATTGTGCAACAGCAAAACAGTTATTCTCTGTACAAGCTGTTCCAAATAACACATGCAAATACAAAACCACCAGAGTGGCCTAGTGCCATTCCTCAGTAGCTGAAGTCCAGTGCATTGGAATCCCTCCCAAAGAACTCCCTTACACCAGCACTACCAGGCATACATTTCTGCAATAAGGCTTCAGATCCCTGAATCAAATGAAAAAAAAATTACTTTTATAGCATTAGATGAAAGCCAAAACAACCTTCTGAACCTCCTCACAATACAGCGATATGAACAAAGGTGCTAATGAAAGGGAGAAAATACCGTCACAGCATTCCCAGTAGAGGTTGGCTTAGGACATTATCAAACAGACCTTGAGGCTCCTTTTTAACCCTACTCTTATCAAGACAAATGCCTGATGGTCTAGAAACTTTTCTAGGTTACAGTGGAAGCAGAATAGCTACACTTGAAGAATCAAGGAACAGCAGCTTTCATCACTGCCTATACGAAGATCTGAGTGATGGAGAAAAGAATGCATCTATTTATATGCTTTACTATAGTAAGGTGGGTGTGTTTGAAAACAGAAAAAGTGATCAGTTTGGAGAAAATTCAACATACCTTTGCTTTAGCAAGTGATACGTTTTCATGGTTATTACTCTTGATGAGAAAGAATCTTGCATCTTGGAGAATGTATTTAAGTTTACTTGTTTGGTCTGAAAAAACAAAGTGTCAAATAAGCTGAACTGTAAATGTTTACAGTTGTCAAAAATGTTGCTTTGAGTGTAGATAGTTGTTTGTTTCCTTCAAAATACACTGTATCCCACCCAGTTCCTACCTATGTATTATCACAGTCAACCACCCAACTTGAAACTTGAAGTCTAAGCTGTAGAGCACAAAATGCCAGGGGAAACCAAATCAAAACTAAAACTCAGATATTCAGGTAGAGAAAAAATAAAATAAAATCAGCATGATTCAGTGATGTTCCGATATACAGGACTTATTTCCTTGCTTAAGAATCTTTGGATAAATACTGGGTAACATTTGTATCAGCACGAGTCATTCAACAGAGAATGCTGAAATGTTCCTCTTTTCAGATGTAAGCACTTTATTCTTTTGCTTTGCTGCCTCTGCAAGGAGCCAAGTGACTGAACTTTTTGCGTATCGCTCTGAACATATGCAAAAGTAGCTCAAGATTCATTTGTTACGCTCAGAACAATTATGCGCTCAAACTGATTTATATCGGAACATTACTAATTACAGGTAATTTAATGAACAGAGACAATGGCTTGCTATGGGGCATGCATTAAAAATTCAAATTTAAATGATACCTTTTTGGACAGCACGAACGGAAGATGATAATTTCTCATGCTTCTTTTCTGAACCTGTGTTTAGCCAAAGTACATTTGTTCAGATTGAGCCTTAATAGAGATAATATACAATTTCTACAGCCTTGTCACATACAATTTTCATTCATGACAAATTATGCTTTCTGGCGCGCACCCACACACACAAAAAATACTACTCAATGTGCACGAGTGTTTTGTTTTGGTTTTTTTGTTTTGGTTTGGTTTTGGGTTGTTTGGTTTGGGTTTGGTTTTTTTTTTAAATAGTATTTGAACAATTTCCTACTCAGAAAACTAGTCACTGAATCATCATCTTCCAAGTTTAAAAAAAAAAGTGAAAATTCCACTTAAGCAACAGAATAGCATTAAAGTAATAAGAAAGCCTACATCCCCCCAAAGGTATCCACACACAACATGCCAGAAGTCAATACCAAATTATACAAAGCTACGTACCCCATAAATCTCTACAGCCAGTTACATTTATTTTAGATTACACATTAAGATTTGATGCAAGTCAGGATGACAAGCAATAAAAGGAAATAATACCTGCATACGATTCTGATGCAGAACTTCCACTTCTGTCAAAAACAATTGGAGAGATACCTCTAGCTCGCTTCCTCTCCTTCTTTTTTTCATCTAAAAAAACCCCATAACAAATAAAAGCAGTATTTTAAACATCAAGTGGCAGGCAAAATTGAGGTAAAAAGTGCTGAGACAGGAAAATAACATCTGTAATAGTGAAGTTAGCATTTGGCCTGCATGTGAAAATTGCGGTTGCTGCCCCAAAACTATCATGCGCAAAAGAAGTAAATGTTAATTACTCAAGCTTTTCATTCATAAAAGGAAGCCAAATGCCACAAAATTAGTAATTCTGTGCAAAGTTTAGAGACACAATTTATCTCCTAGGTGTTTTAGTAAGGGTGGTTTAGCTCTTTTCTTCAGCCAAATTTGCAACACAGCACAAATGGTGTTGCAATACTGATATAGGCTCATTTGCTCAGAGCTCAACAAAATGGCAAGAGGTATGAAAACAAAACACTGTGGCACACAGGCAATTATTTCCACTCTTAGAAGTGTTATGCTATACTATGGAGCTTTTTAGAACAGTTATTACAGCTTCACTTGTCTTTAGGTTACACCTTTCTGTTCTCTAATTCCAAACAGCAGAGCTGAACCAAAAAAGGCATTATGTTAAGCAGGATGACCACCTATGGAGCCTTCAGACAAGGAAGATGCACAAGAAGAATCTTAACAGGATTGCAAGCCGCTTTCTTAAAAACAAAACAAAACAAAAAACAACAAACCAACAAACAGCCAAACCCAGAAGTATTTACGTCATTAACACTTCACATCTGTAAGTCAGGACCAGTTATAATACACAACTGCGAAGCACCTGTTTCTAGTTTCTGCTTAAAACATTTCTCTCTTCCTAAGTTAGCCCTAATAGCTAATCATTTCAACTTAGTTTTAGATTTCCTATGCTGAAGGCAGCCACTATTTAAGATTCAACTATCCTTTCCTGGGGAGATGGTGCTTTTACTACACTGGTCTACTTGTTCACTCATCTAGATGAATACAGAACAGCTCAACACCAACTTAAAATGAATTATATGGGAAACTAAGCCATTAGATACTTAAGAAAAGACTAATTCTAACATTTCAAAGCATTGAACAGCAAGGCCAAAGCAATCAAGAACAGTATGAATCCTCAGCATGGTAAGCCTGATATTCACAAGTTTTGGTGTCAGGAAATATCACTTTTCAGTAAATTTTTTCCTTGCCTATGGTATTTCATAATTAACATTATTGACTTGTGCTACTAAGGCTTACTTTTGACATAGTCAGGGAGTGGTTATTCTTAAAAGCAGCTAAACTTTCAATGGCAAGGTATTTCAGATTAGCATGCTAGATGTTACCTACCTGATGCATCTGAACCAGACCCAGATCTGACTGACCCATCTGTGAAAGAGGCGGATTCAGAATCAGAATCACTGGCTTCACTTCGTGTGTCATAATCATTTCCTTCCTTCTGATCTCTCTCATCTTGTTCATACTCTTCTTCATCCTCCTCCCCATCTTCTTCCCCCTCTTCATCCTCCTCTCCTTCATCATCTTCCTCTTCTTCCATTCCTTCCTCCTCATTCTCTGTATTCCCTTGTTCAGAGGAACCACTACTGCCAGTCTCATGATCTGAACAATATTCCTCAGAGTTCACCTCTTCTTTAGAAGAATGGCTGGATCTGCTTGGTCTTCTATCCACATCATGCCTGATTCTCTGATGTTTAAAGAAAAAGTGAATCAGCAGTCATATAACATTGTCAGGATGCACACACAGTCCTAAGAATGTGCCTTATAAAAGTCTCATATAATTGCTTTATTTATAAGGCAGCAAGAATATTTAATACCTCTGAGCCATCTGGTGTAGAAGACTTTGCCCTTCTGTCAATATCCCTCTTCCTCATGCAAGTTTTCTCTGGTTGTCCTTTATAAGGTTCCCTGGAACTGCTGGACATGCGTGTCTTTCGATCACCATCTGGGCGCTTGTTTCTATCCGACCTCTGATACTCCTCATTCTTGTATTCTGATACTGGTTTTCCTTTTGTACTCACTATTCTCTTGTTATTGCTAACTGATGAACTAGGAGGCTTTGGCATCATCTGCCTCGATGAATGCACAGAAGGTTTTTGTCTCTTGCTTTCAGCGTTTTCCATCCTGTCAGTTTTTCTTTTTGATCCTTAAATAGAAAGAGATACCAAGTTCAATGTTACTTTGTGTATCAAACCAAAAACTGTGCAGAGGTTTCTACTTTAGGTAATTCCCCTGTTGCAGTCATAGGTAGCATATTCCAGTTGTAGGCTTTGCAACAACACTCAGAACTGCTTGTTAGGAACAGCTCATGTTCTGAAACATATATTTTACTTCTAAAGATCAATAATTTGGGCCTTGATAGGTGTTTTCATAATTTTATATATGGGAATGCTGAATTAAATGCTTACAGGATTGGCCTAAAGCCAAATCAAGAACTGAGCTGGGACCAGACTTTGGGACCCCCTTGCTCCATTTGCATTGCACTTTATGGAACAAAAAAAGACGGTCATTTTCTAACAGCAAATGAATTCACAACAAGCCAGACACAGCAACTGCTTTTGAGATAAAAGGAAACCTAGTTAACCGTTTGCTTGAAAGTTCAGATGAAAAAGCAGGTGTCCATGAAATAAAGACTTTCAGAACTCTTTCACTCTTTGAATCAGGCTGTAAGAACCACTGTTTCAAAGACTTTAACCCTAATAAGAAAGACGGTTTTTACCATTTATGTTCCGCAGGACATCCACTACCAAAGTCACCTACCCTTTTTCTCACTTTTATCTTGCTCGCTGTCAGGGTTATACAACTCATCATCTTGGTCAGGAGCATCAGTCAAAATGTCATCCAGAACATTCAGTTCACCATCTGAAAACAAACAAACAAAAAGTTAAAAACAACTGTAAAGAGTCCAGATATGTAAACTACAGTAGAACTAGTATTTACAAACCCAAACATTTCCTTTAGGGTTACTTATTTCTACAGTTTCAGCTGGAAGGATCAAGCAAAGCCAGTAAAAGAATTAAAATACACCACAGAATACATTTAGGCCTCTGAATAACGTCCAAATTGGCTGACCTACAAATGAAAGCTTAACAAAAGAGCCTGTACAAAATTTGAGAAAAAGGAGACTGGGAGATAGTCTGAGTGTCATAAGCAAAGAGGAGTGATGTCTCTCCTCAAAATCCTGAAGAACTTGCACCTTAAATCATCTTCCCTCCTGCTGTGCTATTTCTGTTGTCATTGCTGTGTTAGGAGGGCGAGTTTTGTGGTTCACCTACAAGTAGAAAAATCGCAACAGGGCAAGTTAACAACAAGAACATAAGCTAGGTCACCCTAGTGAAGAAGGGGAAAGTAGTACTTATTTGCTGCATAATTAATTCTGAGCTGCTCGGGGCGGGGGGGGGGGAAGTTACAACTAATTCACCTTAATCAAAAGGGCAAAAGTTTAAGAAAATTCATGCTAGAAGGAGTAAATGACCACCCTTGGTCACACAGCTTTTAGAATGTGTCACTGTTTCTGACTCTGTTTCACTTTGCCTGAAACCAAAGGGGATATATAGCGATTCTGATAGAAGGATTCACCAGCTTTAAGACTGCAGATCTGTATTCCAAGCACTTTAAAAAGTAAGAGTGAACTAAGCCTAAGCACACAAAGTGAAAAATAACAGAAAAGGTATTAATTTTGGAACCTCATATTTCTTCTCCTAAACTCCAGAATTCTTAGCTCTTTCCACTTTAATATTACTATGATTGGTTCTATTTTCTGTGTTCAGGAAAAGGAAAGCAGAGCAAACTCCAAGGATTCAGCTAGTTGACAGTGTATGTAGAAGACACATTGTACAACATTATAAAGTAGCAGGTAAGGACTCCTGTACTGGATGAAATTGGGGTAAGGCAGCAAACAAAGTCCTCCAGAGTTTGGCAACTTGTCTATCTCTAAATCTTGAGCTGTGCCACAAGAGAAGTTTTACATCTTGGTATTAAAAAAAGACACAATCCACACCAGAAAAAAAGTTAGTATTGTAATTGGATTTCTACCATACACTACTGAATCTGAAGTCAGCATGTGTGCTAGCTTTTCTGCTGGCATTTCTCCATGTTTCCTGTGGTAGAGGAATGCAGAAGTGGTCCCTGAACTGCACAATTGTTGTAGCTGATGCAAACAAAGCAGTGCAGAGAGAGGTGGATCAAGCCTTTCCCTGGCAGTTTACAGTTAGAGGGCATTTAAATATAACATGGAGCTGCACTGTAATTCTCTTGGGAACAGCCCTTCATGTTTGTAGATACCTATACATCCACAGCAAATATTCTTGCTGATACTGATGAGATACATAACAGTCAGATTCATGGCTGTGCAACTGCTAAACCTGGGCTGCAATTTCCTGGCTTACACTCTGCTTCCCCACAGAAGACTAGGCAAGTTCAGAGCACAAGATATTTTTACTGGAGACTAATAAAAAAGAGGTGCACTAGGATTAGAATACTAAACATATCACCCATCTCAGATCACACATATTGAACCGTAGCTGTTTCCCTTTTGGTGAGGCAACAACATACTTGAGTAAACTACATTGAACTTAGCAACTGCAGCAGCATTCAGAGGTGCTAAGACTCACATATTAGCTGGTTCAGAAATAAATGATAAGGAAAATTTAATGGAATAAGCAAGTCTGACACATACTTTCTGATAATTCCCTTCTGGGTTAGGTGGGCCTGGTTTACAGCTGGAACATTAAACAACTACGTAAAAGACAGGAGCAGGATGACTTCCCCCCCGCCCCGCTTCTGCAGATACATCTACCTGATTTACTTAAAAATAAATTTCTCGATTTATCTAGCAGCCTGGTGATGCAAAAAGGGCAACCTAAACACAGAGATCCCATCTCTCACTTGCATCGGGTATACTGCTCAACTGACTTCCACAGGATGATTCCACTCACTGAACTGTCACTGTTGGTGTTCAACTTGATGAGCTAAATTATCTCAGACAGATCAAGATAAGCATCAGGAAAAGCACAAAAAAAGAAACAGAAAAACCATGGAGGACAGATTTCTTACAGTTCATCACTGCTGAAGGGGGAAGGTCCAAATGAGTCCTTTTCGTTACAGACACTCCCAACTGGGCTCTCCTGCAACTCATCTTTTGTTGACTCTGGGGTGTGTTGGATCCTTCCATGAACAAATTTAACTCACCTGAAACAGCAGGAAAGTAACCTGGGGAGGCCATTTTTCCTCTGCTGGCCATGAGCGTTAGATCTATTCAAGGAAGGGTCCAAGTAAAAATCTGATTTGGCAAACAGAGGAGATAAGACCAGGTGATTTCAAACTAAAAGGATATCCGAGATTTATTTCCACTTTTTAAAGCAGTGAAACAGCATTTCTCTTCCAAAAGGAGAATAAAAATAACGTTGCATTTACAGTAGAAATAAGTTCAGTTACAAACAAAAGTGCATTAACAGCTGCTATTCAGTCAGAATCATCCCTTTCATAGGACAGAAAATTAAACCAAAATTAAAATACGACACATAAAAACATTTCTTGTCTGCTACTCATGACTTGACCACTGTCAGTGATTAAAAAAACCCCAAACGCGCCCCCCAGAATAAAAAAATTCAAGCCCATCTGGATAAATATGAGTAGAAATTTATAGATGACAACAGTAAACATTTCAATTTCACTGCTCATCGATGGTGGCAGCTCACATCTGTTTTAACACAACCTGATCATATCCTACCCCACCAGTCTTACAATAATACTGTTAAGAATCAAGCACCAGAAATAATTTTACTTCTCAGTTCTAACAAAATCTAGCGGGAATTTTCCATGTGATCTAATTTCACAATAAATAGTAGAGACAGCAAACTTTCACCACTCTGACAAAAACATTTTATGGACATCTATCCTGCAAAAAACTTTACATGAAATATATACCATAGAAATCCAAAACAACGTAAACCAAACTAAAACACCACAGCGATCCTTTACCTCTTTTGTAACACTGCTATAATCTGCGCTAACCACCAAACAGCAATCTTCTACATCTAAACTTTGTTTTTACTTCTTAACTGGATTATTTTGTGATGACTGACTCATATAACCTCATAGACAACATGCGGATCACTTCAGCTTTTGAGTACAGTGACAAGCAGTTATAAGAGTTGTGAATATACGTTACCCTGGAAACGTTCAATTCCTTTAATTCAAACTTATTTACCCACAGGGCCTAGAAAGCATAACTGACTGCAAAAAGCCGAGCGAAAATCACCAAGATAATATTCCAACTCAGCTGCTGCTTGCTAAAGTAACTAGGTCCCTCGGCACAAAATCCTACAAAAAAATACGGCTAGGGATCAAAGCAGAAATAAACAAAAGCAGGTATTTTCTGCGAGAAAATAACCAGTAGTAGCCCACTACCAATAATGTTAAACTTACGGCCCACGAACTTATTCCTATTCCCGCTGCTCAAGTCACCTTGCCCTGAGCCCACTACCGCCGCGGTACCACATTACGGCACGATGGCCCGATCACCTCCAGCACCCCAGCGCACAACAGGGACCGCTTCCCCACAGGCCATGTCTAAAGACTACGAAAATCGCCCTCGAAGAGGGCCTCCCGGTCCCGCCGCCCCTCCGCTCCCCTCACGGACGTCTCCCAGAGTGAAGGCCCAGCACCAGTAACCAAGCAGGCCCCGGGGAGGGGGGGTGGCTGGGGAGGGCGCGCCCCCCCCGCCCGAGCCACCCCCCTTCCCCGGGGCCTAGCCATCACCCCTACCCCTAGCACCGGATACCTTTTTCCTCCCGGCTATCAGCCGCCATCCCGCCGCCGCCGCCGCGACGCGTCGAGCACCTAAGATGGAGGCTCCCTCTTCCTGCACGTAACGATTCCCTCTTCCCAGAATGCACCGCTTTGTTTACGCTCCGCGCGTCACAGGGCGCCGCGGGCGGAGGGAGGGGGGACAGACGATGGGCGGCGCATGCGCGATGGAAGGCGGGGCGGGGCGGGGTGACGGCGCGGGGGTGAAGTGGTCGCGCTTTGAGGAGGAGGAGGAGGTGGAGGTGGCGGCGGCAGCGGCAGCGGGAGCGGGCGGGGGGGGGGGG